AGGACCCATCTGACCCCCCCCCCTAAATCCGCCACTGTTCTTAGACAGCATTTTTACTTGAAATCTATTATATTTTTTCCATATTATTTCAGATATAATAATAATAATACAATAAATAGATATGTGCCTGGCACTTTAGATCAATCGAGTGTAACTCATTATATAAGATATTAATTACATTAAGAAGAGTTCATTGCACTCGAGGCAAACGCGGCCACAAAAAAGCTATATTCGGCTGAGTGGGCGACTGAGTCGGATTCAAATAAAAGATATCAGTGAATTAGTAGCGTTGTCTTGAGTTGTTCTCTGCACAGTAAATATCAAGATAACCAATAGTTTTCCGTACCTAGGGTTATTATTAAATCACAATGGAAAGTTCCTCACCACACAGAAAGCCATAGCTGATCAGGGAAGGAAGGCAATGTTGGTAGTAAAAATATCAGTAGAGACGTACTCTCAAATGTAGAAACTGAACTTTTTCTCTTTGATGCATATGTTTTACCGAACCTGAACTATGGAAGCGAAGTCTGGGGATTTCGTAAATCGTCAGTTATACATGTACATCTGCAATATTGTTAATTGATCTTGGGAGTAAAACCCTCTTTACACTGGACAGCGACCATGAAACTTGCCAGGTTGCCGTTGGACGCTCAAAGCACACACTGTGATCGCTTACATCGCACACAGAACGTTCAAGCATCGTCTATCGGTCTAGCAGGAGGCAGAAAGTTCTTAGAATGATAGCCACCACACACCGATAAAGGTACAGAGTGCGTTATGAAGGGTTCGTAATGAACCCTTGAACCCTGTAGGTTGTGCAGGGGACGCACAGGGTAGGCAGGCGGGTAGCCCAGTGGACGCACAGGTCGCTCGCTGTTTTACCAGTAAAACCTACATTCGGTCGTTCAAAGAAGGCACACAGGGACGAAGAAGCATTTACACTGGGACACGATTTAATTGCTTTGGCGACAATTGAGCTTCTTGACCACATTATTAATTGTTGAAGGGACGTAGAAATGACGCCGTCCACTGTAAAGCCTAGGTCCCTACTGCGTTTTGGACGCACGGTTTTTTGGATCCTTGCGCCCGGCTAGGACGTACCTAGATCGCACGTAGCGGCTGTTGATCATGTAGAAAAGTTTGCGTCCTCCAAAAGTCGCACGATGGACGTGCTCCTCACGCACGAACTCCCACGTTTTCCCCAATTTTTGGCCGTTGACCACACGTAGCAGCCCGTACGTTCGGTTGGGGCCTAGGCTTTACTTGATTTCTTCCCTGCGATCTAGCTACGTCCTAGACGGACGCAAGGAACCTAAAAACCGTGCGTCCAAAACGTAGTTGGGACCTAGACTTTAAGGGGACTTAATTTTAAGTAACAGGGTTGTGCCGTCTGCTGTTTATAATAAATTAAGGCAATTCCCACTAAAATACTACAGAATGATTAGCATTGTATTGTATTTGGTTATTTAGAACTTTATTTTAAGAGGGATCTATGACAATCTACCACTGACATGCAATAAGTTTGCCATGTTTGAGTGTAGGGAATTATCACTAAGGGGGTTTTCAAATGTTATTCGAGGTTAAGCATTATAACGCAAGCGAAGGACATATTTTGCTTGCACGAAGTGAATTATTTATTTGATTTTTCAATCAACAACCAATGACTTTCATTGTGCGAACTCGCTGAACAAGCAGCAGGTAATATGATACAAAAACAGTACCAGTGGGGTTTTACGCTTTTTGAAAAAAAAACTACTTGGAAAAAATTTCACTATTAATAAATTTAAATGATAAATGTCAGTTGGTCCCGTATATAACTGATAATAACGCATGAACAATTCTTGTTGTTCCGTGATCGAACCATATCACATTGCAGCAAGCCGCCAATAAACTAGCAGCGTTTCTTCCTTAATATATATATTATGACGAATTAATAATCAGAATAATTCCTAATTTTGACTACCATTAATTTCTCAGGATTAAAATGGCATGTGTAGAACATATTCAAAATATCAATGGTCTTCTTCGTCGCATTCTTTGTAAAGTAAAGTTGATATTTGAAACCTTTCTGGTCATTTTAATCAGTTGTTGTTCTTTTTTTGTCACAATTTTATTATCTTGAAGCACCGTAATAATAAAAACATTCATTTCATTTCCAAATAATTTTTTCTAGTTTTCTTGGATCTGTGCATCTAACATTCATATGTCAAAATCAAAGCCGGTACAGATCAGATATCCCATGTATCGTCATCAGCACTTACGACTTTAGTTCATGCATCTTAAAGCATTGTTTATAACATCTAAGAAAATAAAACAATGTCTAAGTGAATGCCTAATTGCTAAATGCATGTCTCCAAGGTGGAAATGAAGCGAAATCGGTCTCGTTCTCACTATCCGACGAGGCATTAATGTCCTCAATGTCGCCGATGTCTCCTTCAGTGACGTAATTGTTTGCCTTGATAAATGTCATCTGGTATGTGTACGTCATGGGGGACGACCTACGGGGGTGCTCTGGCATTGAGCTGACTTTATTATATTTCTGTCCCCAGACACAGCGATAGGCAATAACAGCAATAAGGCACAGTGCCACCACTCCGCCCACTGCGCCTGCGCCGGCCTTGAAACCCACCGTCTGGTACCATGGTTCTTGTTGGGACTTCACCATAGTCGCTGAAATAAAGAGAATATAATTTGTTTCATTTACATGTACTTGCGGTAATTTTTTTTCTGTACATCATTCTCTTTTTACCTTCTTTGTGTCTTTCATTCTTTTGACCGTTTTTCTTTTTTTCTCAGCTTGGCGTGTTCCCATGACACGTTATTGGCAAATATGCAGGTATGTATTCAGAAAACATACAGGTATTGCACGTATAACTAAGGACTTAGAGTCATTTGGTAAACGTATTATTATAAAATTATAAAATTACTCTATTGGCCTATACGTCACCGGGCGTGGAAATTAAAAACTTCTTATCAGGTGTTTGTGTTCGTTTAGATAAAAGCGGGATTTAATTCATACATGTTAACTTGGTCATTGTTTTGAGCTACTGTAACATACCTTGTGTTGTCGTCGTCTTCGGCGTTGGTACTGTCTCACCACTTGTCATTTTACCCGGGGTGCCCGTAGTTGAAGAACTCCTAAGGGTCGTGGAAACCGGTGCTACGGTGTTAGTCGTAGGGTTCACAACGACTGTATCATTTCGTTCCTCAACAAGGTGTCCGTAGACAGAAATAACAACAGGCAAGATGGCGGACTTTGGTGGCTCTCCTCCATCTTCCGCCAAAATGGTAAGGTCATATCGATATTGGGCTGGGTAACGCACGACGCTCAGCTCTCCGGTGTCTTCGTTGACAGCAAATACAGCATCAGGGTTGCTTTCGTTGGTTATAGAGTGTCGAACTGTTCCGTACGACCCACTGTCTTTGTCTGTGGCCAGGAACCGCCCTACCGTGCGTCCTAGCTCGCCACTGGCATTCACTGGAATCTCTGGGAAACCAAACAACTGGAAAAGTGGAGCGTTGTCGTTGACGTCTTGGACAAAGATGGCGACCTTGGTGGCAGCACTCTTAGACGGTACTCCCTTGTCAGATGCCACTACTGTCATAATGAACTCCTGCGGAAGACTGTCGTAGTCCAGTTTGGCTACCACTGATAACTGTCCCTGACTGTCCATGTTGAAGAACCGCTCCGCTCCGTTGCTTCCAGAAAAAGTATACTCAAGTTCGCCATTTCGCCCTGTATCTAAGTCTGTCGCGTTAATCATCGTGATGTTGTGTGGAAACACGATAATAGTCCCTTGTGGGGCATTCTCCAGCACAGTGCCATTGTACCAGTCGTATGCAAACATTGGGCTGTGATAGTTAGAACCAATTCTAATAGAACAGTCGACGCCGTCGTATTCATCCAGACACTCGCACTGGTTAGGTGAGACACAACTTCCATTACCAGAGCAGTTGGCCACATCACTGCAGACGGGCTCGTCACAGTGGTCACCCTGCCAGCCGGGAGAACACAAGCATGTGTCCCAAGATACACACTGTCCATTGCCTGCATAGAGAAAAATCAAACACAAGTTTGTCACATAGGGTAATAGGGGGAGCAAGTAATGCAATCGTCGCGCATGCAAAACCTATGACTTCGTAAAATATACTAGTTCATTCCGCACTAAGGCAATGTAATCTACAGAAAGCACGTGTTTTTGGCAGTGTCTCTTTATCTGTTGATCAAGTGAATGTTTTAACGCATTCTCTATGAAAATATTCGGGTTAGTCGCACAGATAGAATTAATATACAATCATGTGTTATGACATTTATTCGAGCAAACAGTGTTTACCAGAGCAGTATCCAAGAGCTTCACATGAGAAATTAGAGCAGTCATTTCCCCCGAAGCCTGGGTCACAGTTACAGAGGTTGGGCTCCAAACACGCACCGTGTCCTGAACAGTTGTTTACAGTAGAACATGAGACGGTGTCACACGTGTCGCCACGGTAGCCTTCAAAACAGCTGTTACAAATATCATTTTAGAAGGGAGAAAATAAAATCATAAATACATGTACTGTTTTCCTCCCTCTGAAATTCTCTAAATCTAATTGTCATACGCCAGTTGTAAAAATTATAATAACAATTTTAACATCATCTTATTTTAAGTGTCATAAATAGACCCAGCCCACTCTTTAATCTTATATATATTTTAAAAACTGTTGTTACGTGTCACTTTCGTAGACAAAAGCTGGGGGATTTCTGTTATTAAGATATATATAACCAAACGCTTGTCACCTCTAAATGAAAACAAAAAGTACCATACCTGCACATAACAGACGTATCATTCCCTTCAAAGGCAGCGCATATACCGTGGCCACTACAGCCATTTAAAGATGTGCAATTCTTCACTGCGGTGCAGTTTTCACCATGGTAACCGTCATAACACGTGCACGTGTGAGGTGACGTACACACCCCGTGTAGGGAGCAGTCATTATTTGAAGAACAGTCTGGCAGAGCGCAGCTGTCTCCTTGCCAACCATTGTCACAACTGCATACATCGTATCCTTTACACTGACCGTGGCCTGGAAAGGTACATGCTTCAACATTCTTATAATTGAAATACTGATGGTAACGCACATAACAGTTATGTATACTAGCATATCGTATAGTACTGCTTTATCTTATCGCGTATTGTTACATTTATTTTTTTTTATTTTACGTATTGTTACATGTCGAATTATACAAAAACGTTATATATTTTTGTTTTTGTGTACTATCTTAAATGCATCCTCTTTTTACATACCATTCACGTAAAAACAATCGTAAAAATCTATCCTATGAACAACACACCTGAGCACGCCGCCAGACGTTCACAAGAAAACTCTGTGCAATTTTGCCCCGCCCAGCCACTGTCACATTTGCATACGTCAAAGTCCACGCAGACCCCGTGCCCGGAGCAGTCAGACATATTGAAACAAGTTGCAACGATGCTACAGTCACTACCTAAATAAACAGAATCGAGGACGTGCGTAAATAAGTGTTCGTGTTTTTTTCCTACAAAAACTTTGTACATTAATTTGAATATACAGAGAGGGTGCACTCCCAATGAAATATTTTTCTACTTAGATCGATCCAACTGACTCTCGCTGAATGTAATCAAATTAACTAAATAACAAGCCTCCTCGGGCTCTAGGGGTGATTAACCTTAGTTTGCGCTCGGCTTCTGGAAGATTTTGCCTACTGCTTTGAAAGCACAACAAAGTCAATCCTTATTGTAATACATACCTACAAATCCTGGTAGACAGCGGCACCTGTTGGTCCTGTAACACACCGTAGTCCTCAATACATACCTACAAATCCTGGTACACAGCTACACCTGTTTGTCCTGTTACACACACTGTGGTCCTAAATACATACCCACAAATCCTGGTAGACAGCGACACCTGTTGGTCTTGTAACACACACCGTAGTCCTCAATACACACCCACAAATCCTGGTACACAGCGACACCTGTTGGTCCTGTAACACACACCGTGGTCCTAAATACATACCCACAAATCCTGGTAGACAGCGACACCTGTTGGTCCTGTAACACACACCGTGGTCCTCGTCAGTGCAGTTATTCACATACAGACACGTGGCTGGAATAGAGAACGGCGTTGAAGTTATTAGTACATTTTCAGAAACTAAGTAATGTGTGTTATGGCACATTACGCTATGCATCATCCGCATCCCTCTTCTATACACTTGTAAACTGATATTATAGCGTTACTCATGTGTTGTTGATGCAATGGTATGAAGCTTTCTATCAAACACAATGTTATTAAAATTAAAAACATCTCAACTCATTGTTTCTATATGCTTTTTACATGTCTCTACGTGACCGAAAAATAAAAGTTTTGAAGTTCTGACTGCAATACATTTGTTTATTAATAAGACTGATGCTGGTCAGGTCCCAGCATTCAGAGGAATGTGTGGTGGTGAGGCGTGGCGAGCGAAAGAATAAACGCTATACTGTAAGCAACTGTGACTATCATACAAAATACATGTAGAGTGCCCCAGAAGAGCAATCGAGTGCATACAGTAAACGGGTGTTTTGGGAGTTCCTTAAAGTTACCTTTCTGGTCACAGGCTGTCCCTTCCCAGCCCACAGTACACACACAGAAACCGCTGTCACACACACCACTGACGCAGGCACCACAGGAACCTGTATGAACCGGAGTGATATTGGCGTTAGTATTGTAACAACTTGTATAATAATTCAAAATATATCTAAATTTATATGAAAACACTATTATTGTTATTATTATTGCACTGAACAGTGTGTCACAGTTTCATACATATTTAGAAACGCGATTTTGCCAAACGCATTTTAGAAACAAAGTGGAAAAAAGTGGAAAAATATCTAAAAAAGACCTTAAATATCTGTCCAAGGTGACATGTTTCCTACCTATAGAGCAGTCAGTTCCAGTCCAGCCGTCGTTACATTGACAAGTGCTATTCACACACCTCCCTTTACCATTACACTGACCAGGACAACCTGGCAATAACGTTATATTATAAGACCACAGACACAGATGTGGTTGTATATGCATGCAGGTTTGCATATTATTGTATACTTCTAGCAAAGAATATTAATTTAGCAGTTAAAATAACACAAAATAACACGGACGTTAATAAATAAATTAATAAAGAATGCTAACGCACGCGCACAAAGACTTTTATTTATGATTTTTAATATACTTTAATATTTTCAGTTTTATTAATCAGTTATCATATCTGATTGTGCCACTGTGTATATATATATATATAGTTATATATATTTATATATCCCATATTTATTATTCCAACTGCTAACAGTGCTAACAGACTGTTTAAGCAGTAATAATAATAATGGTCTGATGTGGCGTTAATTACGGTATATTTATGAATTTTTATTCAGTTCAGGCAGATAAGGCAAGGAGTGGTGTTAGAGACTCTGTATACATGTATATTAATACTCACCTAGTTCATATGTTTCTTGGTTGGAGAAAGTGATATCTTTCGTGACCACGATGTCATAGACACACTCCTGCAGTAAAACGCCCTCCAGTCCTTTCCCCTGACATACCGACTCTGCAGCCTGAATATTGGGGTAATGACTGTATAGCATTATATAGGTTGCAAATGTTAATGTCACCTACTCGGGCTCATCCTTACACTTACCGACTATGCTACTAATTTGGATAACCCAATGATTTGGAATTACCACATGTACCCGTTTTCCTTGAATGTACTGGTGTATTTGAAAATAATTGCAACAGTTTTCTAAAACTATGCTGTGATGTAAAGCACAAGTGAAGCAAATGCAACAATATGTGTTCGAGACAACACTACTTTATCATTTAATAAGTCTCCTTGAAACAGCCATACTCTGAATTTCAAAGAGAGGAAGTCAAGAATAAATATGTAATCCAGCTCATCAGTACATTGATCATTCTCTCTAATAATTGTTGTATTATTTTTTTCCTTATGACTCACATGACTCGGCAAATTCCACTGCCTTGTCCTTGGTGACCACGGTACCATTGGCCATGGTGAAATCATTGTCCTGGGTGTCGTCCATCAGTCCGCACAGTCCAGACGTCTGCCCCTTAAAACTGGCAGTTAGACCAGAACGCACGTTAAGGAAGAGACGCCCCATCACCGGACTGAACCGGACGTCTACTGTGACAGATACACCTAAGGGGAAATAAAGCGCTGACAATATCAGTGCCAGTCAACTCAGGCGTGAGGAAAGAAACGGGGTAACTGTTCAGATGATGGGAAAATTAAATGGACTTTCTTTATACTTCTTTTGTATTGGGCATCGTCCACGACATTAATTATAAACTAAAGATACAATCAAAGTTTAAGCAGTCACTAAACCATTCGTTCTGCCCCTAGGACTAACATGGTTGAAATACGTAGCTAATCCCGCCTACCCCCCTTCCCAGCTCCTGCGGCTATGCCGCACCATATATAGTGGAACACATATTAGCAACTCACAGCTACATTGTATATCACATCCAGAGGCTATCCTGTATGAGAATATTCTCTTCAAATTACGTGCCTAGGTGAAAGAACATAAATATAACAGTCTAAATACCGGTGTCATACTGGATTGCAATCATCATCACGGCACCAGTGGCGTTGTTCCTGACCTTAGCAATATCTACAATGACGGTGTCGTTGTTAAGCGTCAATCTTGTGTTGTTTTTGGTTATGCTCTGGACTAGCCCGTCAATTCTGAGGAAAAAAGAATTTTTATCTTAACGTACGTATGTGTGTTTTATATGCCAGATATTACCGTGAGGTACATGGCACGTGTAGTAAGACGTCTACAATAACGATCATTTTAATGATATTTTTAAAACATCTAAGAACAATACATCCATTCGTTTATTGACCATATGATTGATAAAACAAGCGCAACCATCATGCTGTTTGTTAGATCCAAAGTTTGATAGAATAGTTCCGGATTTTAATGTCATATTATTCAAAGGCAATATTACTAGTACACTCTTTATACACTTCCAATTCACCTTAAAGTAGGAAGAGTGGTTTCAGTAGCATTGGCCGGTGTAGTAATGGTGGCCACACTGTGTCCGACCTTGACCGCGGCAGCACCGACAAGTGACGCTTGTTTATAGCCAAAGAACCTGACTTGTACGCCAAAGTCGTTAGCTGTACTCATACAATCCCAGAACTCCCCGATACCATGGTAATCATAGGAAATACCTTAGAAAACAATGAATTCATACAGCAAGTTATACCATTACTTTAGCAAACATGGAGCACAACGGTTATTTCATTTCAACGATTACTTTCCTTTGTTTTTCGAGATGGTATGATTAAATCAGGAAATTAACATCGATGCACACTAAACCGCCAAAGAATTGTAAAGAAAAATTATATTAATACTCTAAAATAAACACGTATGTTACAAATGTGATTCAAAGAACCGCAGTATATTATGCCTTTCCATTTTGAAAAACATGTCTAAAGATAAAGTGATTTAAATTCGATGAGAAATTTTGACGATGTTTACCTACCATCTGCTGTTTGTAAGTGAGGATCACCTCCCATGTTTCTTGGTATTCTGACATTACAACAGATGCCGGTCCAGAATTGGGAACACACACACCTGGAGCTACAGAAGTACGACTGAGGGGTGCAATCACCATTGCCAAAACATTCTGAAATGCAAAAGGGGTGTTTGTAATGTAAAGGCTCTATCTGATTGTATGAATTCAGCGGCTAGTTTATAGAACATTTAGCAAAGATAAGACACAAAGAAATAATAAAGTTGATATAGTGATAAATATTTCGAAGGAAAGCATTTGTCAAAAAAAAAATTGAAAATAAATGTCTATTTTGCTGTGTAAATTCAAGACAGCATATGGTGCATTTACACTTAAATTTGGGGCGATTCACCTTGCAACCCGTTGTCCGTCTGTAAACTGCATGGCTCACAGTCCGGCTGGTCACACTGCTCTCCACGTCGACCTCGTACACAGGCAGGGTACAGTCCACACTGGGTCTTCTCACGGCAAACACAGCGACAGTCTTCCCACACGGGCTCGTAGGCAGAGTCACACACCGGGCAGCTGTAGACGCGAAAACAGGACATTCAAATCAGTTGACATCAGTAGTTCCGAAACTTATAACACGTAACTGCAAATAGTTCCCCCATTACAAGCATGTTCGATAAATTTCCGAATACACCAGGCGTCCACGTTCATCAATATAAGAATATTCCTGTCTATGCTTCTACGCGGGGTGCAATATACTCACATATCATTCGGACAGTAACACGTTTCATCACTAGCTATAACCGAGTTCTGGCAGTTTTTACATTCACATGAACAATGACAGCCACCATCAGGTTTAACGGTACCATAACCGCCATTGGGACACTCACAGATACACTAGAAATATACACATTGATATAATGGGCAGAAATATAATAACAGTAAAATATGGTTTTGAGATCGATTGATATACGGATGTCAAAAGCATTAGGTCAGTTTTAAAAAGTTGTACACAAAAATTCACTGAAATATTAACGTTTTGCCTTGGTTCCATTATTTTGAAACATAATCAAAATGATAACAGTGATGTCTGGAGTGTACTGCGCATAGAAGTAATTCGATTCAACCATAATCTTAACAAATTCTTTACTTAAAACCTTCATGAAAATTTACACAAATACACCACATTTTATGTTATGGATATGTACAGGTATCGTACCTCACACGTGCCGTCTGCGTTCATCTCCCGTGGCCAACCGTCCGCACAGTGACATGGACACGCAGGCTGAGAAGGTTCATCAGTGATCACCTTTTTAGTTTTACCATCCGGGCACATGCCACACTGGCAAATGTGGTTATACTGTCAATCATAACCAAATATTAATAACTGGTTCAATATCATAATATGACTTTCATATTTATATCTCAAAAATTGCCATCGACTTAAATTTGTAAATGTTGTCTTTGGTTGCTTTCGGCCATGAAGTTTTGACGTTGAAATACTAATTTTATGTCGAGATTGGACTTAAAAACGTATGAAGCAAGAGAAAATGTCCTGCAACACATAAACTTATTAGTACCAGGATTGTTAAGACATTAAAACACAAATGACACAAATCACCTCAATACTACTGCTTCCATCAGGACATAGGCAGGTACCAGGTCTAACAGGACACGTGGTGGCTACCGTAGCTGGCCTACAGTGCCTGTAATGTCGGTTAAATTATATTTATTAATTATCACCATTCTATAGAGTGCCATACATTGAATGAATATATTTAAACGTATAATAAAGATACAATGTAAGTTCTAATATCATGACTGCAATAATTTGATGAGCTGATGTTCTTGGTTAATATTTCTATAACTGTATTGTAATGCACCTTGATATTGAAACACCTAACTGTTGGCGCTTGATCTAAAATACGTAATACACACACATCAGATATGAAGATGTCAACACAACGGTTCACACACTTACGCAGAAGCTTTTACAGAATCAGGAACAAGCACATATTCTTCAAGGCTTGTGAAAATCGAATATGCCGCTTCTAAACGAAGAAACCCAGCGTCTTTTCTGTACCCCGGCCCCGCTTTGTGGACCACAAGGTGCACGCCCTCACGCCCGGAACAGATCTTAGAACACGTGGTAATGTCCAAACTGTCCGTGATAGGGGCTGTAGTCGTGTATGTGACAGTCTCAGACTGACTGACAACACCGGGGTCTGAAACGACAATGACATGTTTCCTGCACTCCAACCCCAAATAAGTTCCGTGTATTGCATTCACACACTCACGTACGTGCATGCACACCGCCTACATATGTCTTCTACTATATTGTAATGCTCTAATAAAGCAGCCATCGCTTAAGAGTCCTACATGTGTCTTCTACTATACTGTAATACTCTAATAAAACAGCCATCGCTTAAGAGTCCCTAACATGCGTATAGTCGTTTCTGAAAGAATAATGCTAACGATTTTTTTACAATACTACACACCAGTTCCAGCAGCAAATTTATAAAACAACGTAAACAAATGTGCCAAGGTGTTCGGCCGTGCTACATGTGTACATACACGTAGGTTCTGCTGGTATTCTATGCCCTGTTTTCTGATGGCTTCACCTTGCGGTCTCACCATGTGAACGTCGAAGCACCCACATCACAGACATCAATATTACCAGGGGATATACAGTGATATGCAGAAACATGTGAGTGGGACTTACCTATCAAATTCTCTAGAAAACGGAGAACTAGCGAAGGGTTGACGAGGTCGTAAACTATGGTATCCGAGGCACTGGGAAACTGCACGTGCAACGCTGGTTCTATGTGAACGTTTATATGAACATTGTCCATGTCATCTGTGTGATCTACGTCATGTGTCACGTCAGTCGCCTGGAAATACAAATGCTTCAATTCAATAGTTACAGTGGCGCATAACTCTGCTCCCACTAAAAACGCCATTACGTTGTTTATCAGAAACAACTCATCAGGCTGTTTGTGTTCAATAGCAACAGTCATTTCCAGAAGACAGTTTAATATCTGAAAACCATAATCGCAACTATATTCAGAATTAAATTGGAATTTATTGTCCTTTAAATATGTACTCTTAACATGTTATTGTTTGATACCCTGTATTAATGTATACTACTATAAATGATTTAATAAACAAAGTACTTAAAAACTGCTTAAATATTGGACGAACTTCTTAGAACAATGAAAATAACAAGGGTACAGTGGTTGCACGGAATAGACAAATAATGTGAGTAGAGCTTTCACTACGAACATCAATAATAGAACCATATATCGGCACCTTAAAGCAAAAGTGGGTGCCTTTGGATAGACTGGTAGCAGCTAATGATGCGGGGGGGGATTCTTTCTTTTTCACAAAGATAATTTCACATTGTTTTTTCGCTAAGAACAAATTCTGGTTGAAATGAAGTAAACCGAAAGTATCAAATATGTTGCAAATAATTTAATAATAATAATAATGCCCAGCGAACTGAAACTTACAGCAGCTCTGGGAAAATGCTCCCCGCCGGCTCCATATCTCCAAGTTGCACCAAGAGTTTGCCGAACTCGTCCTCGGGAATGGTGTCGCAATACGCCAGTACCCTGAAATTTGGGTGAGTTCCATGATTAAAAAACACACACACATACACATATGCAGCTGGGGATTGCAGGAACAAGAGAACACAATGGCTTCACTGTGGATGGTCGCGTAATAAAAGTGTGTTATAAACTGTGAACAATGGGTGAATGGCGCCCGTCCCCCTCTCAAACAGGCGACCTCGACTGACTACAGTTAAACCGTTTTTGGTCGGTGTTACTGCTTCCCACTTACCTGGGATGTTGCCGTAAAACTGTACTTCATGTTGAGGAGAGCGATATTAAGAGGCAAGCAGACGTCTTGTGAGATAGCCAAGCAGTGCACGCCAAGAGATGTACGTTTAAATACAAGATAATGATCTTCGTTGACTCCGGTGTATCTGAAAATTAAAAAAAAAAACACACACTAATTTAAAACAGCATACAGATTACCTAAAATAGTTGAAGATGTACCGTATGTTGCAATAAAAAAATGGCCCAACTGTGATATTTCCCTAATGGGCAGCCATTGCTCGTAGCAATTACGTATTCCTTATTAGAAGTAATTACAATAATGGTTGCCGTGTGCATATTACGTTGTCTACGTTAAGAAAGTGAATCACTGGACCATTCACACCTGACCAATGCTTCATAACTGTTGTTCATACTGTAGTCAATGGTTGCATCCAGTCGGATCCCGATCTTCTGTGCTTTGGGAACTGTGGACTGTAGATGGAGCTGCAGTCCTGCTGTCACCGCTATATTCATGTCAACTGACAGCTGCTTTCTTAACGCTGAGGTTGTCTGTATACAAAGATAAATGTTCGTCTTATATACTGTGATATACTTAAGGGGTAAAGGACTAGTTCAAAGCGAAGAGGGTGGATAACCGCGTGCATTTATGTATTCCATAATATGTGTTTCGTGTGTATAAGTACTAAGTAAGAGGCTTTAATAAAACACATTATATACTTCGGTAGCTTAAGTATTTACCAATGTGTTTTCCATATCATTATTCAGTTTAACGACAACCTACAATATTTGTAATAGCCACTGTATTCAATACATGCAGGAACAACATGCAAGTTGGCACCGCAGGTACATGTAATTACCTCAAACACCGCCTCCTGTTTCAGTGATGTAAATATGCCATCAGTGGATATTTGGTTGTTCAGCCGTCTGTCGGGGTGGAAAGCTTTGTAGGGAGCAGACGCCAGCACTGTGTTTTTGTTTAAGTCCTGGATGGGGATACACTCCAGGAAAACGTAGCCCCCTTTCTCAAACCTTGAAATAACCTGAACAGAAATATATTATCTCATGTTGCCCATATAGATTATGGAATGGTAAGCATGCACCTACATCTTCATATTTTTATTCTATAAAAGTCATACAGAGAATATGGAACAGTTTTGCATTATATAGTTTTAACGTTATATGCTCAATATAAAAATCGGTTCATCTCGCAATGCTATATTCTACATGTATATGCTGCAGAGTCAAATGGTGATATGATATACCAGTCAAGTCATCAGTTTACCTGACCGAGAAAGGCGCCGGATGTACGTCCTGGAATAACGTCGCCTACGACTGGTGGCGCCGTCTCTTGATTCACTGACTCACTAATGTGCAGACTTCTGTCATTTTGTTCTCCGCCGTGGCAGTACATTGTGTTAGATGTGGAGACAGGAGAGACAGCAATGAGACTAGAAAACGCATCAAGTACTCCACATGTTATACGATTTTCTACATAAAAATCCTAAGTAGCAAAATATGTGCATGTACGAACACATTTAAAACGTAAAGTGATCTTTCCTATGGTGTTTTACAATGAATACTTCTTTTCAAATGAATACTTCTTTTCAAAATGTTTTACGCCCCACTGTTGATCAATTATTAGCAAAAACTGAATTTTGCCGAGTCAGTATTCATAGCAAAGTCTCAGAATATTAAAAAGAGACGGCAAAAATAAGAGTTGTCGTAACAGTTCGACCGGGACCGGAAATTTAATATGACTAACTACAAATAATATAATGTATGTCACGTTTTGAAGTAACTAAGATGTAGAACAGCAAGTACATGTAGTATACATCGTATACAAATACCACTCACCTCAAAGACATAGCCTGACTACACGTCTTTACTTTGGCGTGATACGTCACAGCCTCAGATTCTGTTACAACATCCTCTATGTCCTCGAGGAAGCCCTGGCTTTTCCTGCCGACTACCACATCACCAACGTTAATGTGTTTTGACATACTATGTCGTAGCACAATGTACTGAGACGCCACAGGCCTTATGGTCACATTGTACCAATGTCCAAGACATTTAAAAACATGATCATCTGAAATGAGAAATGAGCTTTTTTTTATCAGCTGTGGTCACATATTTATCAAATAAAAACGTACACTTCTTTCTGTAGTGTAAGGTAAATACTTTAAACAAGTAAAGTTTGCACTCAGTTTTCAACCATATATATTTATTGTTTATTTATTTATTCATTTATTTTTTTTGGGGGGGGGATTCAAAATCAGAACTTCACGAGATTCACCTTTTACCACGTGAACTAAGGAACCGCTAATAGCTGCTCCTTCCCACGCATAGGCAATTTTAAAGATGCTTTTTTCCGGCACGTGCTCCAGCGTCCTGTCATCCATGAGGGAACGGACAGGAACTGTTTGGTTAAAGTTGGCATACTGAATGACATCTTCCAACGAGGCCCTTACAGCAGCAAAATATCGGTATGTTCCTGAACAAAACGATTGTCATAGCTGATAAAAACATATAATACTACGATGTACACGTAGTGATGTGAATCATGGAAATATTTTAAGCCTATTAAGATACGTTTAAAGGTGAGGATTTAATTAAAATCTCGCTTTAATGAAATCTGCAGTTCATACTATTCATACATTAAACTCAGACATTTTGTCCTAAAATGCACGTTTAATTTTATGCCGATTGTTGGTTAAACGCCAAGAAGATGGCGTACTTTAGTAATATATTCAGGTTATGCATTAATAATTATGCTACATAAATGTATTAGAAAAATCACTGAATCAGAGAGCACTACTGACATAACGTCAAGACTTCAACAAGGCAGCAAAGCTGTCAAATGTACAGACAAAAAAACAGAAAATAAAGATGCAAATAAGTGAAAAATTAAATTTTAACAAAAAACTGTTAAATTGCCAGAAAAATTTACCAAACAGACTGTATTGCCTATTTAAGCTGTATGTTAGACCCATGTTTCTTTCCTGTAAGTTTGAGAACAGTAAGTGACATGATTT